CAACAGCAGCACCTACCTCGGGTTCCATGTTGGTGAGCAGCAGCTGCAGGGACCTGTGGACGAGCATGCAGAGCCCATCCAGCACGATTTTGTCGATGTGTGCCATATAGTTGTGCCATATCCGTGAGGCTACATCGGCCTTAAACATCTCTGCGTTCTCCTGCCACGAGAAAACCAGCCAGGAGTGAACACCCAGCAAAGGCATCGGCTCCTGACACTGCTTCAAGCCCTTCCTCACTCCCCTGTGAGCCATGCAGGGCTCCAGGGCCGTGTCCCACCTGCACCATGCCCTGGATCTTCTCGCCTGTGCTCTCGATGAGGGCACGGCGCTGAGATATGGCGTTTTCTCTGCCTTCGAGGTCCAGGAGCGCCGTTTCCTTGTTGTCCTTTCTTCCAAACAAGGGAGTGGCTGAACAGTCCTGCAGGGAGGAGAGAACGGGGCTGCTCTGCTGGGCCAGGGAAAGGACAGTCCCAGCTGGATGTGTCCCAGAAGGATGCTTGTGAAGTGCCAGCAAACGTTACCTCCATCAGCTGGGTGATGCTCTGCAGGTTCAGCTTCGCTGTCTGGACTCGTCTGTGCAGGTCGTGCAGGGTCTCCCTCATCTCCTGGATGTATTCCATGACACCTGGGGGGGAAGTGGGCACACGAGCACATTGCGGACACACCCCAGGGCAGTGGGAGGTCGCTTGGTACCAGGGACCCCCAGAAGGAGGATTGCCAGCCTGGGATGGCCAAGGTGAGGGTTTGTACCTTCATGGCTCCAGAACAGAGTCTTCTCAGCACTGGACAGACGGACATCCAGGGCCTCCCGCTCCTTTGCCAGCAGTGGCTGCTCCACTGGCATCAGCTGCTGCTTCACCTGAGCCAACACACCACAGGTGAGCCAGCACAGCCACAGGTGAGCACCGAGGAACAGGTGCCCACCCCACAGTGCTGGATGGCACAGCTGTGGCCTGGCCGAGCCTCGGGAGGGGCAGGGACCTGAGGTGCCAGTGGTGTGCCTGCGGTACCCAAACCTCCCAGTCCCTTCCAGCCCGGAAAAGCAGCTGGGATGCCTCCCCTCCAGAACCTGCCTCGTTGTACCAGCCCACGATGAGCGCCAGGTTGTCCCCTATCTTTTGGAAGGTCTCGTTTTGGGCAAAGAGGTTCTCAGCGTTGGTGGGGATGTCCTGCTGCTGCTGGATGTGCAGGTACTTCACCTCCCGCAGGACGGCCGAGAGCTGCGAGGGACACACGGCGCCCGGGGGGGCTCGTTATCACCGGGGCAGCGATGCTGGGGCCGCTGCCGCTGCTGCTGGGGCTGCTGCCGTGCCGGCACCCACCTCTTTGCTGAAGTTGACGCTGAGGAAGCCGGACTCGGGGTCCCGCTGCAGCAGCGGCTGCTCCAGGCTGAAGTGGCAGTCCTTGCCGGGCCCGCTCGCCCATTCCTCGTAGATCCGCCGGCTGTAGCTCTGCAGCAGCCCCATCATCTCCTCGTACTTCCCGGACACCAGCTCAGCCTCGGCGCCCACCATGGCCCTGCCAGAGCAGCAGGGAAGCCGCTGAAAGCAGCGGGGCACGGAGGGGACCCGCTCCGGGCTGGGTCCTGCCCCACCACTGCCCCGAGGGACCGGAGCTGCACCTACGGGTGCCTCATGGCCAGCAGGTCCTGGCGCGGCCCCTCCAGGCGCTGCTGCAGCTCCAGCGCCCACTTCAGCTTCCCGGCCACCGGCGGCATGTTCTTGTGGATGGCGGGGCCGCCCCCGGGCGGCGGCGGCGTCAGGAACCGCGTGTCGTACAGCATCTTCACGCTCTCCAGCTCCGCCTCGAACATCCCCAGCAGGGCCAGGTAGCAGGGGGAAGCCTCAGCCTTGATCAGGGGCCGCTCCAGCACGGTGGCAAACATGTGCACCAGCTGCAGGAGAGGCGGGCACGGGTTCCTGCGCCTGGAGCGCCCCAGGACAGGAGACGCCCCCGGGTCCCGTGGGAGCTGTGCCCGTGCTGGGGCTCAGGTACCTTCACAGCAGCTGTCAGGCGGTTGCAGTCGTCAAAGCCCTGGCAGAAGATGGCAGCCAGCTGCTTGTTCGCATCCTCAACCTTCTTCTGGAACTCTGCAAAGTCTGTGTTCCACTCCTGCCATTGAGAGCAAAATGGTTCAAAGCAGCACAGCCCCTGTGCCTCCTTCTCAGATCCTTCAGGAAGGGTTTGCTGAACCCAGAGGGTCCAGAGCCCCATGACTGCTCCAGAGCCAGCCCTGTGCTGCTGTGGGGCAGTCCCTTGTGTGACTGCAGCCCGTTCTCACAACAGATTTTTCTCTTTTCACTAAGCAATGTTAACATCTCCATTCCAGCACCCATTACATTTCCACTCCAGCGCCTGCTCCTCACCTCTTCATCGGGATCCAGGGGATCGTATTTGCAGTCAGCAAAAGCCTTGGTGGCTTCACAGATCTCCTCAGAGATCCTCAGCACCCAGGTCCCAAGGAAGTTTCCTCGCACCCCTCCCAGCACCGTCTTCTCCAGCCTCTGGAATTCGATGGCGGCCTGGAACAGCTCCTGGCAAGCACAAAGCCCCGTGTAGCTGGCTCCCCTGTGCCAGCCTGCAGGTGCAGGAGCTGCAGCACCAGCACAGCCCAGCAGTGCTGAGGAGCAGCCCCACTGGGGTGGCATGGCCAGGCTGTGCCCATCCTGCCGTGGGGGCTTTGGGAACCTGCCCTGGCAATGGTGGCACTGACTCCCAGTGATGTCCCACCGTGCCAGCAGCCCCAGGCTGCAGCTGAGCCCCCCCTGTGGCACTGCCTCCCCGGGATCCATCCCCAGGGCAGGGAGGCCTGGCTGAGGCTGGCACTGTGCCCTGAAGTGCTGTGCTCTCACCTTGATGGCCCTGAGCCGGTGCAGGAAGGCATCCATCCTCCCAAAGATCTGCGGCGGGGGAAACTCCCAGAGCTCCTTCTGCTCCTGGGAGCAAGGGGAGAGGGGCTGTGAGCCCGGCGCTGGTGCGCAGGGTCAGAGTTCCTGCACCGTCCCTGCACCCACCGGGAAGAACGTGCTTGTTAGCTCAGAGCAGTAGGTGCTGTAGGACTGGAAGAACTTCTCTATGATGGAGATGGCGTGTTTGAGTCCCTCCAGGGTCTCCTGGGGCTCTCCTTGCAGCCCCTTCATCATGTCCTCTGGGTTCAGGTATTTGTAGGTCTGGGACAGACACAGGCAGGGTGTCAGGAGGACGTGCAGGCTCCTGCTGCCCCTTTCAGCCCCACAGACTTGCTGTGGTTGCCTGCAGCCCGTGCCTGCCCCAGACTGCCCCCAGCCCTTGGGGGGCTCTGCTGCTCCCTTGTCTGGGGTGTCTCCACATCACCGTGACTGGATTCTCCACATCTGCCCCCGGAGGCAGCAGCTGGAGGGATCGGGGTGGGTCAGTGCTGGCCGTGGGGCCGTACCAGGCTGATGAAGAAGTTGCAGGTCTCCTGCAGGATGCGGGCTATGTGGGCAGGCGAGTGGTAGTGCACGCAGTGGGCGCGGAGCAGGCAGATGGTGCACAGCACCTTGGGCACCAAGGGCCGCAGCTGCGGGAGCAGAGCCTTGTCAGTGTTGGGATGTGTCCCCCCACAGCCTCTGGGGCTCTGCTGCTGCCCAGGTGAGGCCAGCAGGCTGTGCCTGGTTATTTAGCCACACATCAGTTACCTCGGGGTACTCCATTTGCTCCATGTCCTCCAGCAGCCCCTGCAGCGGCTGCAGGTGCAGGTTGACATCATTGGCTTCCTCCAGACCTAGGACAGGGAGAAAGCCCGTGTTGGGATGGGGACACCTGGCTGGGGGCAGCCCCCACCCTGTCACGGGACCTCACCCCCATTGACGGCCCTGATCATGTTCTGCAGCGACGGCCAGTAGCAGCTGTCAGCCTTCTCCAGGGCCTTGGCCAGCCCTGTCACCTGGGGTGTCACCAGCTGGGGAAGAGGCACCAGGATCAGCACGGGCGGCTCAGCACGAGGACACCTGGCCACAGGTGGGTGGGACAGTACCTGCTCACTGATGCACTGCAGGCTGGTCACCCTGGTCTGCCAGAAATCAAACTCCACCTTGGGCAGGGGGTGCAGCCCCTCCTGCAGCTGCTGCGCTGGGTCCCGGCTGAAGATCTCCTCAACCAGCTGGAACCACTCGATGACCACGGTCTCGATGGAGTGCAGCACTGTGCCATCGATGGGCCCCACCAGGCTGGAAGGCAGAAGGGTTATGCCCCTTGGGAGGCCTGAACTGCCCCAGGGGAGCCCCAGACAGCCCTAGGGAAGCCCTCACTCCTGCTTGAGGCCATCTCAGCCAGGGCAGATGCCTGTCCTCAAGCACTGTCTGCTGCAGGGGATGGCTGTGCCCAGGGCTGTGCAGGGACCCAGTCCCCATCCCTTCCCGAGTGATGTTTGCTGCCCTGGGCCCCTGCCAGGCTTTTCTGGCCCCAAGTGGTGCCACCCACCAGTCCAGGGCGGCGCCTGAGTCCTCCCAGCTGACCAGATGCTCGGGCAGTGGGAGCAGTGGCTTCCCCTGGATCTTGCCAGTCATCATGAACATCTTGTTCTGCAGCTGCTGAGTGTGACGCACGATGTCCTCCGCCACAATCCTGGGCCAGTTCAGCCCCTCATCCTGGCTCAGGAGCAGAGGGGTCACAACCTGCGAGACGGGGCTGGCTCAGGCACTGCCTTGTGACCTGCTGTACACAGGGCACTGGGCATTTCCCTCTCGCTGCACATTGAGGCAGTCTCAGTGCTGTCACGGCTCTCCTGGCCACAGATGGGTGCTGCTGGTATATCAATGTGACCAGAAGGCCCTTTGCTCTGGTTTCCAGCTGTCATGGCCTGGGAAAGGCTGGAAGTGGCACAGCGAATGCATCTGGCAGAGTCAGGGGCTGGCACATGAGCAAAAGCCCCCAGCAATGAGGGGGAATAGTGGGGGCTCCTGGAGCTGATGAAGCTTTTGGGTGCTCTGGGCTGGCAGCAGGAATATTCATGGGAAGTTTGAGGGAAGTCCACTTCGACATTTCCCAGCTGCAGGGTAAAGGTAAGGGGGCATTACTGAGTTTCTAAAATTGCAGGGAGGAAGTGATCCAGTAGGGGCCAGAAGCAAACCAGCTTGGTGACCTTCACCCAGCTCCTGTCCTTGTGGGGTTTGCTCAACATAGGATGGGAGCCACTGCAAGGTCAGGGTGAGGACCTGGCACAAGTTTTCTCTGTGAATTTTAGTTCATTTTGGAGCCCACCTGGAGATTTGGCTGGAGCAGCTGGGTCCCAGTGTGCCCAGGGAGCTGCAGTGACCCTGCTCAGCCCCAGCCTGCTCCTGCACAGGTAACCCACCTCCAGCAGCACGGTGATGAGCTGCTCCACGGGCGAGGCGCCCACGTCTCCCACCAGCAGCGCGCTCCGACAGTTCTCCCCGGTGATGTTCTCCTCCTTCTTCTTCACGCAGTAGAAGGCCTTGCCCTTCAGGGCAGGTGGGAAGGAGGTAGTGGGCTGGAGCTGCCCGGCAGGGGTCAGCGCCAGCACCAGCTCCAGCAGCTCTGGCTGCTTGAAGAACTTGTCCAGCAGGACTGAGGTCTCCTCGCTGGCCGCAAACTTGGCCCACTTGTCGGCCCGGACGC